TCATTTAGCACATATTCAAGGATTATCCATCCTTATCATTACTAAATAGTATTCCATTGTATAGATGTGTACTGCATTTTGTTTATCCATTCATCACTTAGACATTTGTGTTGTTCCCACTTTTAGACTGGGTAAATTGTCAAGTTAAAACTTGGTAAATGCAGGTTACTGGATGGTGGGCTATGGTTCAACAATAGACCACAAGGGAGCTGAAATAGAGTTTATTAGTCACAGGTCCTAGGGGAGGTACCCTACACGCCTGGAGAGGCCACACTGGGAGGTCAGGGCAGAGTGCACACAGGGAGCAGGGCCTGGGGCTCAGTTGTGTCTTTATTAGGGTCTGTGGGTAGAGTGCTTTGAGGTTCCTGGACTAAGACTGGATTCATCAATTCCAACCAAAAAAGTGGGGTTTGGGTCAGCCTCACAAAGTTCTTACTAAGGGGCACAGGGAAGCCGCTGGGAGGCAGGGGAGACTGTTGGTTTCAAGATTCTGGAGTCATTGTATCAGGACTCAGGTTTGCTTGTGACTTTCTGGGCTGTTATCTAGGATATGTCTTGCATGAGGGCCAGTGTTAGTTTAGGGCCCCGCTGAGCCAAACAAAAGTGAAGGTAAGGCAGTATTACCACCAAGTAGCTGAGCTACACTCTCAACAGGCTATTACTGATGAATGTGTCTATGAACATTCGTGTATGAGTTTTTGTGTGACCAAGCCATTCTTTTAGAGTAGGTCTACAGCAGCTTCTCTTAATTTTTCTTCAACAGATAATGTTTTGAATTCCCTTTAATTTCTGAAGGACATTTTTCCTGGGTAAAGGATTCTGAGTTGATAATTCTTTTGTTTCAACACCTGGAAAATATTGAGTCACTTACTTCTGACCTCCATGGTTTCTGATGAGAAATCCATGGATGTGTACATCTGTCATTAAATTGTTTTTCTCCCATAAATGAGGTGTCATTTCTCTCTTGCTGCTTTCAAGACTTCGTCTGTAGTTTTCAGAAGTTTGGCTGTGATGTGTCTTGGCACAGATTTCTTAAGGTCTATCCTGTTTGGCGTTTGCTCAGCTTCTTGGATCTGTAGGTTTGTGTCTGTTGCCAAATAGAGTAAAATCTCAGCTATTATTTCTTGGAGTATTTTCCAGCCCTGTTGACTTTCCTTCTTTTTCCAGAATTGCAAAGATAAGTGTTCAATCTTTGTCATAGTCCCAGAGGCTCTATTTTCCCCTGTCATTCAGATTGGGTAATTTCTATTGTACCATCTTCCAATTCACTCATTCTTTTCTCCAGCTCCTCTATTCTGTTTCCATCAAGTTTTTCATTTCAGTTACTGTATTTTTCAGTTATAATGTTTCCATTTTGTTCTTTATGTCTTCTTTTTCTTTGCTGAGACTTTATTTTTCATCTGTTTCCAGCATGTGAAGAATTTTTGTGGAGGCTCTTGAAAATTCCTGTCAGGTAATTCTGGCATCTGTGTCATGTCTGTTGGTGAATGCCTTTTCTCAGTGAAGTTGCTTTACCAATTTCTAAACCCAAAATTGAGCCATTTATGGGAATGTTTTCACTCTCAAGTAATTAGGTTCTCCATGGTTGTTTTAAAAGATAAACTGTGTCATTATAACTCAGAATTTGCTTATCTGTGTCCCAAATGAACCTCAATTCCATGTTATTCTCCTCCTGTACAGTTTGGGTGCTTATATTACAAGCCATTGGCCTTTCCCTTAGTCTGTGTTCCCTTCCAGTGCAGTCACTGAACTGTTTCCTTATGATGATGTCACCCTGAAGTTGTTCCTGTAGGGCTGCACCCTTGACTGCGTGTGTCTCATTTATGACGTCCGATGGTTTGTTTTACTTGGCCCTTTTTAAAGGGCTGCACTGCTGTCTCTGCAGCTTGCCTAATTATTTTATTTGTTCAGAAACTTTCTTCTCATTTATATTACATCAGCCTTGACCACACAAAATACAATCTTCTTATTCACTCAGCAAATATTTATTGTATAAGAGGTAGAGTAATGGGCAAGAAAGACAAGGTCTTTGCTTTCCTGACACTTTTCAGTGTAGGAAGAGAGAATATAACTCCCTAAAATAATTGGTATTCAGAGAATTAAGACAGGGTGATGGGTGACAGGGTAATTTCATTGGTGGTAAGGGAATGACTCTGAAGAGAGAATATTTAAGCTGAAATTGATTTTTTTTGTAGTTTCTATCTCTCTGTTTACATTGTTGTTCTTTTCTTGCTTTAGAGCCTGTTAATGGGCCGAATTGTTGAAAATTCATATGTTAAAGCCTTAACCTGCCCAGTATCTCTAATTGTGTTTGGAAGTAGGTCCTGTAAAGAAGTAATTAAGTTAAAATGATGCTTTACAGTGGATCCTAGTCCAATCTGTCAGGTGTTCTTACAAGAAGATATTAGGACATTGGAGAGACACCAGGCCTGTGTGAGGACAGAGAAAAGGCCACCTGCAGGACAAGGCCATGGGGAAACCCACCCTGCTGACACCTTGATCTTGAACTATCAGCCTTCAGAATTGTGAGGAAATATATTTCTATTGTGAAAGCCACCTCATCTGTGCTATTTTGTTTTGGCAGCTGATTAATACAGAGTCCTTAGCATCCTATCATAATTATAGTTATTTTATTTTTAAATGTATTTTCATTGATTTCAGAGAGGAAGGGAGAGGGAGAGAGAGAGAGACATCAGTGATGAGAGAGAATCATTGATTGGCTGCCTCCTGCACACCCCACACTGGGGATTAAGCCCACAACCTGTGCATATGCCCTGACTAGGAATTGAACTATGACCTCTGGTTCATAGGTTGACTCTCAACCACTGAGCCACGCTGGCCAGGCCAAATCATTCTATATAATAAAAGGCTAATATGTAAATCGACTGAATAGCAGAATGACTGGTCACTATGAAGCACACCAGGGGGAAGATGCTCAACGCAGCAGCTGCCCCCTAGTGGTCAGTGCGCTTCCCACAGGGAAAGTGTTACTTAGCTGGTGAGTGCAACAGTGGTGGTGGGAGCCTCTCCTGCCTACTTGGCAGTCAGACATCCCCCAAGGGCTCCTGTACTGCTAGAAGGTGCAGGCTGGGCTAAGGGATCCCCCACCCCCACAACTGCACAAATTTCACGCACCAGGCCTTTAGTAGTTATTTTAAATTCCTTGTCTGATAATTTCAAAATCTCTGTCTTATCTGAGTGTGGTTCTGCTGCCTGGTTTGTCTCTTTAGACTGTGCTTTTTCCTTTTAGTGTGCCTTGTAATTTTTGGTTGAAGGATAGACATTATTTAGTGGGTAAATAGGGTTTCCATGTGCGGTTTTATGTTAATCTGGTTAGGGATTGGGTTGTGTTCTATGGAAGCTCCAGGGGCTTCATATTCCTATTGTTCTCGGCATTTCCCCTGTTTCCTTTGGGTTTCCCTAAGAGCTCCTCCTTAGATAGAGTCTGTGCCTTTCAGTCTCCCAGCTCTGATTCTTCGTTTTTATAGTTTCTATAGTTCTTATTGTGTGAAGAGACTTTAGTTTCTTCTGGAAAAAAAAAAGTTTGTCATGGGAAGCAACCTAGATGTATTTCAGAATAGTTACTCTTCATTACCCTCTGCCAGACCATGTGAGAACCTTCTGGGGTTCTTGGAGATTAAACCCACAAGAATGTGGGGCCCCTCCTAAGATTGCCACACCCCCAGAAGTCTCTTACTATCATGGTATTCCACACCCAGCTTCCAGCAATTTGTCAAAGGGATCATTTAGATGTTCCTATCAATTTAGGCTCCAGTGGTCCAGGAATACTGGTCTTGACTGTTACTCTCTAGGTTTGCTTGTCATTACCCTGCAACCTCATTTGAAGAAAAGTCTTTGATTCTCAGTTTATTCTTCTTTTCTTGTTATATGGGTGAGTGACAGTTTCCAAGCTCTCTTTACCTTTTGGAGTTGAAATTGGACATCCCTGCCCCTGCCCCTGCCCCTGCCCAGTGTGCAGTAGGGCTCCCTTTTCTCCTTCCCTAGCACAGCAGTCCTCACAACGCCCTGGGGGCATTGATTTTATAGGGAAAGCTCTGGGTCAGTGGTCGTCAAACACATTAGTCAACAGAGCCAAATATCAACAGTACAACGTTTGAAATTTCTTTTGAGGGCCAAATTTTTAAAACTTAACTTCTTCTAATGCCACTTCTTCAAAATAAACTCGCCCAGGCTGTGGTATTTTGTGGAAGAGCCACACTCAAGGGGCCAAAGAGCCGCATGTGGCTCGCAAGCTGCTGTTAGCCGACCATTGCTCTGGGTGGACCTTAGTGTTGTGGCAGGTCCCAGCGAAGGTTTGTTCAGTCCACTCTTTCCATTCATGTACTTAAAAGGCTGTTTATGTACAGTGCTAAGAAAGAGGTACTGATTTTGAGCCCGGTTCCAATTACAGTATCAAGAAGTAAAGGCTGCAGGCAGGGAGAAATGATAAGGAGAGCTGGGTCCACCTGGTTAAGGGTAGGGCTTTGTATTGAACTGTTGTTTCAGTCTAACTTTTTAAATGGTTGCTGCAATATATGCAAGGCTACTAGGTTCTGTACTTCATGCGGGAAAAGTGGAATACAGTGTGAACGCTGTGCCTGTGACTCTGGAACTTAGTGTCCTGTACAGACGCCACATCCATATGTGGTTTCTGAGGGATTTGTTGCAGAGTGAAAATGTGGTAATACCTTTGAAAACAGTCTTGCAAGTGGACAGAATTACTGTCATCAACACGAAAAGCCCTCGTATTTTTCAGCATTTTAAAGTTATGTGGTTGTAATATTTGAAGATGGGATATTACTAAATAGATGATGCTTGAGGTTTTCATGCTGCTCTATGAGCTAAATTTTTACATCAAGAATTGATTCAGTTTCAAGTTCAGCTCATAGTTTTCAAAACTGTCAAATCTGTCATTCAGAAAATTCAAGAAGCCTTGAGGGTTAGATTCTACCTCAAGATCAGGAGTTTTATTCAACCAGAGTATTACCTCTTGCCCCTAGATCCAGACGCAGAGGTGTGTCTTCATGTTTTGCGACTTGTCCAGTCAGTGGTTCTGGAACCAGAAGTTTTCTCCAAGTCGGCCTCCGAGCTCCGTAGCTCCGTGCCCCTGCAGCGCATCCTGGCCATGTCCAAGAGCCGCAACCCCCGCCTGCAGACCGTGGCCCAGGAGCTCCTGGAAGACCTTCGAGCTCTGGAGTGTGATGCGTAGGCATGTCCCTCCTCCCTCCCCAGGTGCCAGCGTTGTGTTCTGAAACCATCACTGAGGGCCATGTGTTCTAGATGGCCCGACGTTCTTGACTGGAGATGGACGTGAATGAACATGTATCCACACACCTCCCCCCCTGGAAGGGAGGGTACTTGTGGGTGGCGGGTTAATCTTGCTAAGGGGAGCCGAGAAAGAACCCATCCTGTCGCAGCAGCCGTGTCAGCTATGCTGGCTTCTTAGCGGGCTCCCGCTGCCCAGGGGACTTTCTGAGGCCTGTAGGTCCGCCCAGAAATGGGAGCTGAAGTAACCACCTGTCCCATTGGTCAGCATTTCCTGAGATACATTTCTTTGAAAACCAATCCATTCTTTCCCTAGTAATTATAACGAATGCCCCCAAGTGCAAGTTTACCTTTAAACCTTTTGGTGACTTACTAGTTCAATGCCATTGGACATTTTAGTTCTATATTTTTGTGCCTCTTTTATTTTTGAATAAAGAAAGTCCGAAGAGTCATTGATGCGCTCCAACTATTGTTTTCTGAATTATTACAATCTTGAATTGGGAAGCTATATCTGACAACAATTGGTAGGAAAAATTCTCCTTACATTGTTCTGGATCCTTTATAAACTCAGAGCAAAATCCACTTTTTCATATAACAAAAACCATGAAAAGGGCCTCCTGGATTGGAACGCACGCAGTTGAATGATGTATCGTACACTAGTGTGTACCAGAGGCCCCACACCACAGGTTTCCTTCTCGTCTGCATCTAGGCCACTGGCGAGGACAAAGGAGGAGGCACTGCACTTCCCAAAGACACCGCCACGTGTGAGAGTGGGAGTGCACCTTTATCACTCCTTCAGGTCACGTCAGGGGACACGTTCCCGCCTCTCTTCTGGTGCTGCTTCCTTCAGCGTGACTCTGTGGCTGTGGACTCCCGTGGCCTGTGCGAGCAAAAACCCAGGCAGGTGTCCCTTACTGTGGCAGCCTCGGGTACGTTTATAAGCAGTTTCTACTGTGTGGCATGTTAGGATAATTTCATTTTCCTTTTAAGTAGACTTTTGTAGGCAATGTGAGGTTTATGACTGAGGCTGAATGAAGGAGCTTAAGGGAAGGCACAGTTGCTTAAATTTCACGAGCCAGCATATTGTGAAACATTAGCTCATCAGAGCCAGAGAAAAGTTGTAAAAAACAATTTAAAATTCATGGAGGCAGAAATTGGTCCATCTGTGCTGCATGGGCCTGATTATTGGTGAATAAAATTGAGGATGTGTTTTTGTACTTTTTCTAGCATGGTATCATTTCCTTTTTGGTTGTTTGATAAGGTAATGGGAGCTAACTAATGTAATTAGTTTGTGCTGCCTCTAGACACGCAGGATTTTTTTTTCCTGCTGAAGTGGGATCAGTGGCTATAGAGAGATGACACTGGGCCAAACCTGTGAATGTTTGTAATTTAGCTAATTAGTAAATAGGTGAGATTAAGAAAGAAGTGCTAAGGATCGCAAGAGTTCTTACTGAAAATTTCTTTCATTTATCTAACTTGCTATTGATTCTTTCTTGTATATTCTTCATTTAAGATATTCTTCATTTCTGATTGGTTCTTTGTTATGGTTTCTGTGTCCTTTATATTTTTAAAATATTTTTGTTAATCCTCACCAAGGATATTTTTTCCATTGATTTTTAGAGAGAATGAAAGGGGGTTGGGGGAAGATCAATGTGAGAGAGACATTGATTGGTTGCCTCCCATTCATGCCTCAACTAGGCCAGGGATAGGACCTGCAACCTAGGTATGTGCCCTTGACCGGGAATCAAACCTATGCCCCTTCTGTGTGTGGAGGCCAATGCTGTAACTGAGCACACCAGCCAGGATTCTGTGTCTTTTTTAAGTTCTCACTGAGATCATCCATTCTCTTCCTAAGGCTCTTGAGTATTCTTATAACCATTGTTTTAAACACTGCATCTGGTACCTTGGTTGCTTCCATTTAATTTAATTATTTTTCTGGGGATTTCTCTTGTTCTTTCTTTGAGTCATACAGTCGAACCTCGTTTCTTGAACGTTTTCTGTCTCAAACAGTTCTGTTCTTTTCAAGTTGTTCACAGAAAAAAAATGCCTCTGTTGTTGAACCAAACTTCGGTGTTGGAACTGACAACCCTTTCAAGCTGGTACCTCAGCATGACAGAAAAGCATCTCTCAGCCAAACAAAGGAGAGAACTGAGCTCAGCAGGGCTGGGCTGCTGAGACTTTAGGGCAGATCCAATCTCTGTTGGGAGTATTGCCAGAAAACTGCTAGGAGGGGGGCGTGGATAATTCTTCCTCTTCTTGTAATATCGTGGTTGAACTCACAAGGAACATAGGAGTTGCTCTCTTCCCTATAGTGTAGCCACACAACCCACCACCCACCCATCTGATTCTCAAACAAAAGCCTCCTGACTTACTCCGAAGTCCCAGCTCTGTGGGACACTCTGATCCCCTGAGGGACTGAACTCAGCAGGGTGGGCCACAGGGAACGGAAAGGCAGGCCAAGTGATTCAACATGTGGGGGAGGGATGGGGGGGAGGTTCAGAATGCGGGGGAGAATGGTCCCCTCTCCAAAGCTACATAGTTCATTCACTGAGTCTCCATCAAAAGCTTCTTCAGAAAAAGAGCAGCTCAAAGGTTCCTGCCATGTGCAGCCAGCAGACTCCCCTGCAGGAGCCAAGCATGGCAGAGTGGTGTTGCCCATAGTTGGAGGATGGGACAATGCACTCCCAGGCTGGTGCTGTAACAATAGGAGTGCTCCACCCTGGGAAGATGGCATCTGGGTCCCTAGCAGACTCTGTTCTCTCCCAGGCAGACTGAATCCTCAGATCTTCAGCATTAGGTGCTAGACAGGCTTTCCTTCTTGTCTCTGTTGCCCTGCTCTGGGCATCCCTGCATGGGGCTGAGATCCCATGCTCCTCGGGGGAAGGGGGTGGGGAGTTTTGCAGCCAAGATATCCCTGCGGCTTTTCAGCCAGGGCCTGCCTTTTCCATGCCACTAACTTCCTACCAGTCTTTATGTCACTTCTTCTGTACTAGGTGTATTTGGTTAATAATGTGTATTTTCCCTCCCCCAATAAATGGAATTACACATATGTTAATATATATGCAATTTGATATGTATGCTGTTTTGTTGTATTGACAACAGGCTTCAAAACTTCATATGTCAAATTTGCTGAAGGTGTTAACATCATAGATATTTTTATGTTTTAAAAATGTTGAATTTCGTGCCAAAAGAGCATTTGCAAGAAGTTTTAATTCATTTATTTTGAAGAAAAAGTTATCGTGTACTCCGGGAAGCTTATGGACCATGCTCCCTCTCAAGATACTTGTGAACGCTGGTTTAAACACTTCAAAAGTGACAATTTCGATGTGGAAGACAAAGAACATCCAAATCAACTGAAAAAGTTTGAAGACCAACAACTACAAGCATTATTGGATGAAGATGCATGTCAGACTCAAAAACAACTTGCAGAAAGATTAAATGTTGCTCAGCAAACAATTTCCAATCATTTACAAGCAATGGGAAATATTTTATTTTATTTTTTATTTTTTTTAAATCAATCTTTATTGTTCATATTATTACAAAGGTTCCTCATTTCTTCCCCCCTCCACCAGGTTCCCATCCCACCCTCCGCCCCCTTCCCCTCCTTCATTGTCCTCATCCATAGGTGCACAGTTTATGTTCAGTCTTTTCCTCCCTCCCTTTCCCCGATAGTAAATCCCTTTTCAGATAGTAAATCAGTTACTTAGCATTTTCTCATATCAATAATACCTCCACATGCCCCAAGATACACTTCACACAAAAGACATTTCCAAATAGGTCAATCAACCTCATCCAGGCCCCGCACAAGGCACTCACGATCAACACCCCAGCGCTACACTAACTCAACACATCCAGATCTAAGCCTTCATCACTTGATTCAGCAGACCCTCAAGTTCCCACAAAAGTTTCCAGCCATGTCTGAGAGGCAGCCTTGGGGTGGGGGTGGGGGGGTAGGCGAGGAGCAAGCTGTTCCGGGCCTGGCTGCTTCGGGCCTGGCCTCTGTTGCTCTGGTTCATTCCACAACCAGCTGCTCCGGGTCTGGTCACTGCCGCTCCCGACCTAGTTGCTCTGGACTTGGCTGCTGCTGCTCCAGGCCTGGCCGCACCCAACCTGGCTGCTCTGGACCCGGCTGCTCCGGGCCCGGCCACTCCAGGCCTGCCCACTCCCAGTCTGGCAGTTGCTGCTCCAGGCCTGGCCGCACCCAACCCGGCTGCTCCGGGCCTGGCCGCTGCAATGGGAAATATTTTAAAGGAAGAAAAATGGGTGCCACATCAACTGAATGAAAGACAAATGGAAAACCAAAAGTCATCAGTAAAATGTTGCTTCAATTGCACAAAAGTTTTTTTTTTTTCATCGAATTTTGACTGGCAATGAAAAGTGAATTTTTTTTGAGAATCCCAAATGCACAAACCATGGGTTGATCCAGGCCAACCATCAACATCAACTGCAAGGCCAAATCACTTCAGAAAGAAGACACTGCTCTGCATTTGGTGGGATTATGAAGGTGTGGTGTATTATGAGCTTCTAAAACCAAGTGAAACCTTTAATACTGATCACTACCAACAACAAATAATCAATTTGAACCATGCTTTGAACATGCCAAAAGACACGGCTAAGTAATTTTGCTTTATGATAATGCACTATCACACACTTCAAAAGTTAAAGATACATTAAAAGATCTTGCCTGGGAAGTATTAATCCACCCGCTGTATTCGCCAGACCTTGCTCCTTCAGATTACCACTTGTTCTAATTGATGCCCACGTACTTTCTGAGTATCACTTCAAAACGTACAAAGAAATGGAAAATTGGGTCTCTGAATGGTTTGCCTCAAAACAAGAAAAGTTCTATTGGGACGGTATCCACAAGTTACCTGAAAGATGGGGGAAATGTGTAGCTAGCGATGGACATTACTTTGAATAAAGCACTTTTGATGTTTCTCTTGA